TATATATATATATATTTATGGCACACACTCCCTGGCTGCACCGTGGCCAGCCACACGCCTAATAGGCCCAAGACTCACTTTTTAAAAGGACGTGAGTGCGAATCACCTTCCCCAACGAGCAGAAGCCGTGGCTCTGATGCTCTCGTGTCCCACACAGGTTTCTCCGATCAGGTCCTTCGATCAGGTCCCTCCTGCTTGTGTCTTTCAGATGTTCCCCATTATAAAAAACTACGGGGAAGTTCTTGTGCAGAACGTGCAGAAGAAAGTGGAAAGGGATGAGCCCATCGAGGTGAAAGAGTAAGTCGTTCGACCCAAAGACGATGCAGATCCCATCAGAAGTAACTTTTCGATCCATCCATGGTGGGCAACGCAGATTGCCTGGTCGGAGAAGGGATTCTTTAACTTGTTGACTTGCGGATGGGGTGGATTCCCCGCAGGGCTCTTTTTGTAGCAGGAACTCCTTTGCATATTAGGCCACACCCCCCTAATGTAGCCAATCCTCCAAGAGCTTACAGAGCTCTTCTTACAGGAGCTACTGTAAGCTCTTTGAGGATTGGCTACATTAGGGGTGTGTCACTTAATATGCAAATGAGTAGCTGCTACAAAAAGAGCCCTGTATTTAGGGATCCCAACCTCCAGGTGAGGCCTGAAGGTCCCCTGGAATTACAACTGATCTCCGGCGACGGAGATTCCCTTGAGGAAATGGCTGCTTCAGAACTCCTCAGGCTCCACCCCCAAACCTCCAGGAAACCCCCAAAACAGAGCTGGCAACCCTAGATGGATTCCTTCTGTCTAAGAATAAGCCACAGTCTGTTGCACAAACACATTTTTATTGTGGTGTTTAGAGTCCTAGAATCCCAGAGTTGGAAGGGGGCCAGACAGGCTCTCTAGTCCAACCCCCCCTGCTCAATGCAGGATCAGCCTAGAGCATCCCTGAGAAGTGTTTGTCCAGCCACTGCTTAAAGACTGTCAGGGAGGGGGAGCTCACCCGCTCCCGAGGCAGACGATTCCACTGTGGCACGACTCTGACTGCAGAAAAAACTCTTCCTAAGATCCAGCCCTTAACTTAAACCCATGATCGCGAGCAGTGTTCCCTCTAAGTTGAGTTAGTGTGAGCTAGCTCACAGTGTTTTAGCCTCCGGCTCACACATTTTTGTCTCAGCTCAGGAAGGAGGGCTCCAGAGCAAAGGGGTTTATGCAGCAGCCAAATTGCTCGCTCACAACTTTAATGCCAGGAGCTCACAAGGTAGAATTATTGCTCACAGGACTCCACAGCTTAGAGGGAACATTGATTGCGAGTCCTCTCCTCTGCTGCCAACAGGAACCGCTCCCTGCCCTCCTCTAAGCGATGGCTTTTCAGGTACTTCAAGAGAGCAATCGTGACCCTCCTCTTCTCCTGACTGAACATTCCCCAAGTCCCTCAGCCTTTCCTCGTAGGGCTCGGTCTGCCAGGGCTTGGTTTCAATGCAGCCCACTTCTTTCTTCCAGCTTGGATTTTTTTTTGCTTATTTCCACAAATGTATGAGAGTGGGAAGGCGCTGACCTGGACGGCCCAGGCTAGCTGGATCGCGTGATATCTCGGAAGCTAAGCAGGGTTGGCCCTGGTTAATATTTGGATGGGAGACCGCCCAGGAACCTTGGGGTCGCTAGGCAGAGACAGCCAAGGGCAAGCCAGCTGGGCTTGTCTCGTCTTTTGCCTTCACAGCCGTATAAGACACCTGTGACTTGACGGCTCTTTTCGCCACCACCAGGAGAGCGGGAAAACGATTCTCAACAGTTCCCATTTTAATAAGCCATCAGTAGGATTGGGGTGGGTGGGTCATGGCAGGGGCGTGGGAAGAAGTTGGAAAGTTCCCTTTGTAGGACAAGAGACCAGCGAATGTGGTTTCTGATTGTGATTCCTGACATTCCTCCTGACATGTATAATGCCAGCTGTCATTGTGTTATTGGCCCTGGTCACATGGGCCAGATAACGCGGCGGGGGGAGGCGTGGCTATTTGCGCCATCGCATTCTGATCCGCCATTAGGTGATCAGACGCGATGGCAGGCTTCCTGCATCGGCACGCGCAGCGAAGATGACGACCCGGGGGAATAGCCGCGCGCCGGCACGATCACACCGTGGGAGTCTGTATGCAGCCCGTGACAAACCATTTGCCAGTAGGTTGTTGCAGATACCTTTTAAATGTGCATCTTCGGTGGCACGCCACGGTTTGGCCACGGGTGCGCTACGCCTCCCAGATGTTCTGGTGCGATCGCGCCCGGAAAATCCACCCGACTATCGTGCCTTCCGCGGGGCAAATGCTCCGTGTGAACAGGGCCATTAAGAGTTTGATTTTTAGTGTTTAGCCCAAGCAGAAGAGACTTAGAATAGAAGTAATTAGAGTTATTTTAATGGCCAGAGGTTCTTTTAGATAGTTTCTGTGGATTTTCCGGGTTGTGTGGCCGTGGTCTTGTCATTGTGGCTTCCTCGGAGGTATAACACAGGAAGATGGAGTACCCTCTGTGTCAACTCCATCTTCCTGTGTTATACCTCTAAGGATGCCAGTCACAGCTGCTGGCAAAACGTCAGGTCCTACAATGCTAGGACCACGGCACGGCCACACACCCCGGAATATCTACAGCAACTAACGAACCCCCGCCGTGAAATAGATCGATTCGGAAAATAATGGAATGGAGTGGACATTCGAAATTACAGGCTCCCCGGTTGAAGGACATCTTGAAATTAGAGCTATGAGATGGAGTTGGCTCTGTGTTCTCAAAACAAATATCTTCCTGCGTAGAATAGGGCATTTGGCCCCATTATGTCTGCCGAGAGCTAAGTTTCATGCTCTTATCAGAAGACTCCCTCGTTCCGGGCTGAAGCAAATAAGCCAGGAATGATGCCAAAAGAAGACCTCATTGTTCCCTAAAGCCCCTCTCTTTTCTGTGACCAGATAAGAAAGCGTGGAGGGTTGGATCCAGATAGGAGTTTGCCAATAGAGAAGTGCCAGCTCTGTTGATGCTTTGATGACGAGACCTGTTGGATTCCAATGAAACATTTCTTAGTGTATAAACTGTAGTAATGTCACTTGGTGTTAGTTCTAGGAGATGTTGTAGGTCTTCATAGAACCGGTCCACTTCAGCCTCTTCTGCATCAGTGGTTGGGGCATAGACTTGGATAACTGTTGAATGGTTTGCCTTGGAATCGGACCGAAATCATTCTGTCATTTTTGAGATTGTATCCCAGTACTGACTTTTGCACTCTCTTGTTGACTATAAAGGCCACACCATTTTTTTCTACGAGATTCCTGGCCACAGTAGTAGATACAGGGGTCATTTGGGGGGGGACGCGGGGGGACACCATCCCCCCGGGTGAGGTGCGGGAGGGCGGGGCCTGGAGCTCCCTGCTGGTGCCCGCTGGAGGTCGCCGCCTGCTGTAGGGAGGACACACTTCCGGTGATGTCAGGGTGTGTGGCATATGCTAATGAGTTATGCTAATGAGTCCCCCTAGCTCTTTTTCTACGAAATGACCCCTGAGTAGATATAATGATCTTCTGAGTTAAATTCGCCCATTCCTGTCCACTTTGGTTCACTGCTTCCTAAGATATCGATGTTCAGTCTTGCCATCTCATTTTTGACCACGTCAAGCTTACCTTGATTCATAGATCTTACATTCCAGGTTCCTATGCAGTATTGTTCTTTGCAGCATCGGACTTTCCTTTCACCATCAGACGCATCCACAACTGAGCGTCCTTTCGGCTTTGGCCCAGCCGCTTCACTCTTTCTGGGGTTACTTGTACGATGGTTAGACAGTGTCATAGATGCAACAAACATGAAATTGAGCAAACTTCAGAGGACGGCGGAAGACAGGAAGGCCTGGCGTGATCTGGTCCATGGGGTGGCGAAGAGTCGGACTCAACTGTGCGACTGAACAACAACAACAAAAAAAATGTCACTTGGGGTATAAGACCTATTGCCTTTCCTGGTTGGGGCAGAATACAGTTTGGTGGTACTGGGTGCCAAGGTATCCAGTCCAGTATCCTCCTGATTATTGCAATAAACAGATATTTATCCACTCCCTGCACTCCAACCGTGCGTTCCTTATTTGGCCCCGGGGGCACACGGGGCACAAATTTGTGCATCGCCTTCCCACAGTCAACCATAGTATAAAATATCAGCCTTCAGGTCACTCTTAAACAAGTGATTCAGCTTCATTAACCAGAACAATCAACAGCAACAACACCACAGAAGCTAGCTCAATTTATACTCTTTGGGCCTATACAACCACACCCCCTAGGATGTTAAACGCCAATAATAAATTGTACATAACCAATGGTTGTTGCTCCCTCCAAAACCATCCCTAAGCTCTGATTGGCCCACTATGCAAAGTAGCCAATCAGAACGTGCATTTTAGGATACCAGGCCTCTATGGAGTTATGACTGAAGCTCAGGCAGCTTAACTGTAAGTATTAACACAATACATAACACATAGGAAGAGGAAGAGGGAAGTCAATAAACAGTTTCACAAATTTGACAACATGCCTGGGGAAATACCAGCCTCTTCACTGGGTACCTAAAACTTCACCATAATGATGGAATGCCTTCCCCTAAAGGTGTCACGACAGAGTAGGCGCTGCCCGCACTCGCCACCCCCCTCCGTACCTCCAAAAAGAGCTCACATTGCTGAAGTGCCTCTGTCACCCATTACAACATACGAGCAGTTCAGTTTGGTCACCGGGACAACAGGCAACCTTTTTGTCGCTTGTTTTTTAATGCACAAAAATACCAACTCGGATGCTCTCTCTCTCTCCTCCCCCCCCCACCCCAGGATCTTCGGGGCTTACAGCATGGACGTCGTCACCAGCACCTCGTTCGGGGTGAATATCGACTCCATGAACAACCCCAAAGACCCTTTTGTCAAGGAGATCAAGAAGATGACCAAGTTCAACTCTTTTGACCCACTCTTCATTTTGACATGTAAGTTCACTTTGGGTTGTCAAAAGCCCGGCGAAGGTCTACAGCCACGTTAGAAGCATATATTTTCCCCCCTTTACCCCTTTTCACGTCCTGAGCACGGTCTTTGGCCTGATCCAACATTGGCATCTCTTATGTTCTTATGTTCTCTTATGTTCTTATGTTCTGTTCTGGGCATATGTGTTGCGAAGCGGCAACTCGCAGGTGCACAAAGCAACGGGACACTTGCAAGCTCTGGAGGTTTCCCCCACAGAAGGCAGAAATTATGTTTTGCTCCGGGGAAGAGGCTTCCCCTTCACGATGCGTTTCTCTCCTCTTGCAGTCACGTGCCCGTTCCTCATACCCCTTCTTCGGTTAATGAAGGTGAACCTCTTCCCCAGTGATGCGCTGGACTTCTTCACAAGATCGGTTGGGAAAATAAGGGAACAGCGGCAGAAACAAGGCAAAGGGGTAAGAATTGGGGTGCTGCCTAATGTTGGCATCAAGCCTTGGCCGCCATCATAACGCACAATTAGACCCGCCCTAGGTGCGAATGCCGGGCGGATTTAAAGGGCGCAATCAGACAACGACATCTGGGAAGCGCCCCGCAGCCGTCAGCAACCCATTCTGCTCCGTTGCAGAAGCGGAGTTAAAAGACATCGGGGGAAATCCGGCCGAAAGCAGGTTGCGACGGGCCACGGATGGACTTTCCCCTGTCTTTTTTTTTTTGAAACCCCCAAGAGGGTAATTTTATTAGTTTTTCAATAGACTACATAACTACAACAGAAAATATGGGAAGGGGGGGACTACAACTAGGGATAAAGAAAAGATACCCACACTAACTAAAAACCCAAGAGTAGGAGATCATTTCCGTGTTAAACTACACGTTAGTAAATACGTGTTAGTATAACAATATACTTGTGAGTTATTTTTAACTACTGCTTCAATGTTAATAGTTTTAATGTTTTGAGAACACTTCTTGAGCGTCTTCTTATTTTCATAGGGCTATTTTCAGAGTCCTTCTGCCCTTACTTCTGTCTTCTTTCTCTGAAATCACACACCGTTTTGCTTGCTTTCCCCTGTCTGATTGCTCCAGCGCACTCTCATGGTGTCGGGATGGTTCGATCCGGCCATCCTGACTCCGTACCATTGTTTCCTCCCTTTCTCAGTATGCGCATCACCGCAAACTCCATAGGGAGCCCTCAGGGCGGAGATGCGATTAATCGATTCCTCATTTAAGCGCATCGGAAACAAATGGCAAAAAAACCCCACCCCGACTCACCCACGGTTGCGTCTGATCATGCGGTGGTGGGCCGTGCCCGCAGCTCCCAAGGACTGTGTGATCACGCAGCTGCGGGTCAAATGCCTCCGGAGGAAATAGCCTCGCTCCCCCCCACACACCGGTTTTTCTGGCGCCTGTGACCGTGACAATCGTCAGCACAAAATAATAATAAAAGTCACAACAGCATCTCCCCTCCCAAATTCCAGTTCTGAGTACACTCTAAGAATAAAATGGCAGCCTTGTTAGAGCAGAAGAAAGCCTATTTTGTCCAGAGCTCCACTTCAAATGGCAGCCAGGCAGATACCTTTCCAAGCTCACAAGCAAGGTCGACTGCCTCTGCACAGGGAGGCTCCATTTAGCTCCCACGGTCCATGGCTGTTGACAGACCTATCCTCTTTTCTCCACTTCATGTCCCCATTGACCCATTCATTCCATTCTCAGGACCGGGTGGATTTCCTGCAGCTGATGATCGACTCCCAAGGAGAAAACAGCAACGGCATCAATGGCCAACAGCAGAGCAATGGGGTGGATCACTCATTCAAAGGTAACAGCACACAAGTCGCCCCACGCGCTTTGTGATTTGCGGGGCCTTGAAGTGAGGGCAGATGCAAGAGTTCTCTGTTGAAGAAGAAGAAGAAGAGTTGGTTTTTATACCCCGCTTTTCTCTACGTTAAGGAGTCTCAAAGCCGCTTACAATCACCTTTCCTTTCCTCTCCCTACAAGAGGCACCTTCCGAGGTCGGTGGGGCTGAGAGAGTTCTGAGAGAACTGTGACTGCCCCAAGGTCACCCAACTGGCTTCATGTGGAGGAGGAGTGGGGAGTCAAACCCAGTTCTCCAGATTGGAAGGAGAAGAGTTGGTTTTTATAACCCGCTTTGCTCTACCTTAAGGAGTCTCAAAGCAGCTTACAATCGCCTTTCCCTTCCTCTCCCCACAACAGCCCCCTGTGAGGGGCTGAGAGAGTTCTGAGCAAACTGTGACTGGCCCAAGGTCACCCTGCTGGCTTCTTGTGGCGGAGGAGCGGGGAATCCAACCCGGTTCTCCAGATTAGAGTCTGCCGCTCTTAATGACTACACTATGCTGTTGGTTGATATCAAAACAATCAGCCTCAGTCCCAGATCTCACAATACACACAAAGCAGAAAGATACATTCAGGAGATGATGAACAGAATCTTCTATAGGGCCCCTCTTCTTGTTTTGCCCAGAGTTGCCAAGGAGGTCAGGAACAGAAGGCGAGAAGTCTCAGCTCGCACGTCCCTTTATATCGGGGTTAAGGGACCCCTTGAGTGACACTGTCAGTAATTCCCCTCTCAGTCTACAGGTCTTTTAAGAAAGGTTTCATGGGAAAGAGAATTGGATAATAGCAAGGATGAATTCCTTGCTAAGACTAAAGCATAAAGTGAACGTAACTCAAGGTGTAGTCAAAAGTTACATCCCAGGCGTAAGTCATTTACACACACCCCTCGCCTTACAATTGCATCTATTCTGCTAGCCCTGTGAAAGTTGTTATCTAAAGACTTCAAGGATGCCCTGCTGCGAACGGGTACTCCCAGAAGTACACTTGTTATGGGAAAGATGTTACAAAGCAATAGGAGCTAACCCTATATGGCCAGGGTCCGGCATACCTGAGGGACCGCCTTTCCCCATATATACCCCAGCGAACACTACGGTCGGGGACGCAATGTCGACTGGTCATTCCAGGCCCTAGAGAGATCAGGCTCACGGCCACTAGAGCCAGGGCCTTTTCAGTGGCGGCTCCATACTGGTGGAATGAGCTCCCGGAAGAGATCAGGGCCCTGCGGGATCTTATGCAGTTCCGCAGGGCCTGCAAGACGGAGCTCTTCCGCCAGGCTTTTAACTAGGAGCCGCCCTCATTATCACCAATGACCACCATTATTATCTGGGGTAGAGGCTGGCTGTAGCGAGGCAGAGTCAAACCGCTGGGAGCCGGTAGCTGTGGAGCTACATGATATGCTATGCCATCTTGGTGAACAACTACAGAGTACATTTCATTTGAATGTTGATTGTTTAAAAGTTTTTAAATGTTTTGATAGTGTTTTAAGTTTAAATGCGTTCTATATGAATCTGGAATTGAGCCAGGCAGTGTGAGCCGCCCTGAGCCCGCTTGCGGGGAGGGCGGATTATAAAAATAAGAAATAAATAGATAAAAATAAATACTCCCCCATTCACACATCCAGGCATCCACACCTTTCTCCTCCCGCAGGAATGTCAGCAAGGGTAGGGGAGACAGGAAGACATAGAACAGATAAAGGTAAAGGTTTCCCTTGCTCGAAAGCTAGTCGAATCTGACTCTAGGGTTGCGGTGCTCATCTCCGTTTCAAAGCCGAAGAGCCAGCGCTGTCCGAAGACGTTTCCGTGGTCATGTGGCGGGCAGGCCCG